CAAAAATAATATGCACTTGCATTTACAATTTTTGCACTGAGTCTCTTTCATCAAGGCATGCTATATAGTATTTATTACTTTTTATTATTTTTTCTTTTTTTACTTTCTTTAATGTTCATCATAAAACCTAATTTATATTAAGTATTTTATTTTATTTATTATAATCTAAGCAAGTAAAATTCTTATGGCAATAAAAATATAATGGCATAAAAAATATAAAATAATGAAGAAAAAAAAAATAGTTGATCAAAAACAAAATAAAAATGTAAAACAAAGTATTTCATCATTCTTATAATTTGCAATAAAATAATTCATTATTTTGCAATTTTTAACACTATTCAACATAAATAAAACATCAAAAGTTAAAAAAAAAATCAGTCCAAAATTTTGATATTATTACCTCCCCCAAGCCTTACGAATGTAGACATTTTGGACTATTTTTTTTTAATTAAATATAGTCTGGGAGAGGCACAATAGTGGTCCAATCAGGTTAATTTTTTTCCAAAGTTAGTTTTAACACCAATGTCCCACATTTCAACGGGTAGTTAATTAAAATTCTAAAATTTCCTCAAATGCAAATACCCTATTATATATATATATATATATATATATATATATATATATATATATATATATATATATATATATATATATATATATATATATATATATATATATATATATATATATATATATATACAAACAAAGAACTGCAAAATAAAACAGAACAACTCATAAAATCATAAAATGTGTAATTCAGTTCAATTTTGTGTCATGTTTTTAAAATAAAAACTATTGGTAACATGTAAACCAGTACAATCTGCTTCATCTCCTGCTGCCTTGTTGGCTATGCCATTTTAGGCAAAGGCTAGGAGATTCCAACTCCGACTTAAAACACCCGCTTCCTTGGGGCTCTTGGTTGAGTAAAGGCTAGAGATGCTGTCTTGATAAAAATACTTTTATTGGGCAGATGTTAAATGCATCCAGCTACTGTCTTGTAAAAGGCCTCCTAGGCAAAGACTTAAGGGGTAAACAGATTCTATCTGTTGACTAGCTTCGCACCGCTTCTCCATCTATTAGGCTGGCGCAGATATATTTTTAATAAATTGTTTCCAGTTTAGGATGTTGAATGCTGAATCTTCTTGACTCAATGTATGCGTTTTGCTTGTGTCTCTGTTTTTATGACTAGGCAACTCATTCTATTATCTCCTAATGAGGGTACAGCTCTAAATCTCAGTTTTATGGTTCTGAGGCCGGCTGGTAGTCAGGTTTCCTGAACTCTGTGGTAGCTCTCAGAGAGGCTGATTCCATCAACAGCTGAAAAATATCAAAGTATTAACAGTGCCATGTTGCGCATGGATGGTGTCCCTGTTTGTAATTTTGGTGTGCATTGCCAAGGCCACATTTGGAGCCCTTTGTTACAGCTTATGGCTTATTGCTTGGGCTATTAAACAGTGTACTGGGTGCTATCTATGCTTTGATTCAAGTTCTTTAACAAGTTTAAAAATGAATACAGTACTAAAAACTATAAAACACAAAAAACCATTGTCATCAAGTTCTCTATATCTATCATTCATTAATATTCTTGGTCTTTGAAGTAATTTTTCTTCTGTTGAGTCTTATCTCTTGCAAAGTTCACCTGACCTACTTGTTCTTTGTGAGGCTAATTTGTGTTCAGCTGTCTTTTCTTGTGATCTCAGTGTTCATGGTTATCTTCCTTTAATTCGTAAAGACTTCAATAGTCACATGCTTGGCCTGGGCATTTACATATGTAAGAATTCACCCATTTGTCAGAAAACTAGGTTTGAATCCACAGACTGTTTTTATGTGCTTTCTTTTAGCACTATTTCACTCTATTGCCTTTCTCTTTGCTCTATATCGCTCTCCTTCATCTCAAGACTGCGTTCTTCTTGATGTTATTTTAGATCATATTGACCAAGCCCTCTCTCTTTATCCATCAACCAGTATTGTTGTTGTTGGTGACTTTCATGCTCATCACACTGAATGGCTTGGCTCTAGTGTCAGTGACTCTGCTGGCATTAAAGCCCACGACCAATTCTCCTGAAAACAGATGTCTGTTTATTACTCCTAGAAACCATTGTAAAAAGGCTTTGTCTAACGTTAAAGCCCGCTATTCTCAGGTCATGAAATCTCATATTTTATCACAAAAATTAGGCTCTTGTGACTTCTGGAGAATCTTTAATAGTATCAATAATAAGGCCATTCTGCAATTCCACCTCTCTTGTATGGTTCAGACTTTGCCACCTCACCTAATGACAAAGCTGAATTGTTTGCTAAGAACTTTTCATCAATATCATCTCTTGATTCCACTAGATGTGTTCTACCTGATATAACTGTCAAACAGGTTGATCCATTGCTTGACATTCATATCTAAAGCTTGTGATCTGTTCTTTCACGTTCTTCAACAGTTCAACAGTTCTGGACAACTTCTTGCAGAAGTGTTCTCCAGAGCTGTCATCTATACTTTCAAAACGATTTAACAAGTGCTTGTCAGAGTCTTAGTTCCAGTTTGCTGGAAAGTGGGATTTGTTATCCCTATTTTCAAAAATTCTGGAGAGCGATCTGATTTGTCTTACTATGGTCCCATTAGTCTTCTTCCTATCATAAACAAGGTTTTTGAATCTTTAATTAACAAACACTTAATCTCACATCTTGAATCTAATAACTTACTTTCTGATCATCAATATAGTTTTCGATCTTCTTGTTCTACAGCTGATTTGCTAACAGTAATAACCGATAGGTTTTTTCGTGCATTACATAAAGGTTGAGAGGTTAAGGCTATTGCTCTTGACCTTTCTAAAGATTTTGATAAAGTTTGGCATACTGGTCTTCTCCATAAGCTTTCTTCTTATGGTATATTTGGCAACATCTTTAAGATTATTGCATCTTTCTTTTCCAATCGTAGTATAAATGTTGCTATCGATGGACAGCACTCTTCTTCTTATTCTGTAACCTCAGTGGTTCCTCAAGGTTCAATCCTTGGCTCTATACTCATATTAATTTACATTAACGGTCTTCTAGATATTCTCACATCTAAGGGGTTTTGTTCGCTGACGATACTACCATTTATTCTTGTCGCGATAAGAAGCCAACACTCTCTGATTGCTTGGAGGGACATTTGAGCTTGAAAAGGATTTCATTTCTGAAAACCATTTATCAAATCCATTGAAAAATTAGCATCTGCTAAGGTTGTATCTCTTTATTGAGCTCTACACTTTCTTACTCTGGATTCTGTTTTCTGTTTCTATAAATTTCAAATCTGTCTTTGTATGGAATACTGTTCCCATATCTGGAGCGGATCTTCCAATGACACCCTTTCTCTTTTAGACAAATTGCAAAAATGCATTTTAAACATAGTTGGACCTGCTCTTGCAGTCAAACTTCAACCATTATCACATTGTCGTAATGTTACTTCTTTTTCTCTTTTCTACAAATACTATAATGGGCACTGCTCTAAAGAGCTAGTGCCATCTACTAAAATTCTTTATCCATCTACTAAAAAGCTCTAAAGAGCTTGCGCCATCTACTAAAATTCCTTTTCATCTTACTTGCCCTTCAATTAAGTCTCATCAATTTTCTATGACTGTTCCATAGTGCTCCAAAAACTCTTATTTGCCTAGTCTTTTTCCTCAAACATCAGTTCTTTGGAATTGGCTTCCTTTATCTTGCTTTCCTCATTCATATAATTTTCAATCTTTTAAGTCGTCTGTCAATTGTTATTTTGCTCTACAATCTTCATCTTTTCTCTCCCAGTAACTTCCAACTCTAATTAGTGGTTGCTTACAGCCGTTTTGGAAGCGAAGATGTTTAAAAAATATATGTATATATATATTTATATATATATATATATATATATATATATATATATATATATATATATATATATATATATATATATATATATATATATATATATATATATATATATATATATATATGTATGTATATATATATATATATATGTATATATATATATATATATATATATATATATATATATATATATATATATATATATATATATATATATATATATATATATATATATATATATATATATATATATATATATATATATATATATATATATATATATATGTACACAACCCTTGGAAATAGGAAAAATGAGGTCAGCATGTCTCACCATAAAAGACAGAAACAAGGTCAGTAGTTTTTTGCCAACCTCAAATACTTTTTGGTCAGCAGTTAGGTCAGCATTCAGCTATATTGACCTAACTGCCGACCATATAGTGTTTGAGGTCGGCAAAAAATTACTGACCTCGTTTCTGTGTTTTATGGTGAGATTTTTGTACCAAATTTTTTTTGCCGACCTAATGCTGATCTCATTTTTCCTAGTTCTGAGGGTTGTGTATATATATATATGTATATATATATATATATATATATATATATATATATATATATATATATATATATATTACAGTGTGTGTATATATATATATATATATTTATATATATATATATATATATTTATATATATATATATATATATATATATACACTGTAATATATATATTTATTTATTTATATATATATATATATATATATATATATATATATATATATATATATATATATATATATATATATATATATATATATATTTATATATATGTATATATATGTATATATAAAATGTGGTTGTGGTGTAGCGGTAGAGCGCTCGCTTCAACGAGTGGTTCTTAGTTTGATCCCCGCCACGTCCCTGGTAGTACCGCGCTCAACTCGTTTCTCCGCGCAGCGGCCTTATTCGTCAAGGTTCGTGTTTCGGAGTTATAGAGTTGGGAGAGGGTTATAACCACAAATAAGTAGCCTCCTCGTCTGTAGTGGCCTTCTCGGCCTTGAGGAGGTGAATTAAAATAAAAAAAATATATATATGTATATATATATACATACACTGTAATATATATATATTTATATATATATATATATTACAGTATATATTTTCAATATTTTAGTGCCCAATCCGATGGAACTCTGAAAAACAGGTAAAACATAAAAACAGGTAAAACATAAAAGTTATGAAGTTTTATTTTTTCTCTAAATTTTTTGTTGACGGAATATTTAAATTACTTTTTTTTAAATAATTATATATATCGTGTTCAATAAAAATCTGTGAAAAGTTTCATTTGCATTGGCTATTTAATTAGAAATATTACATTAAATGAATGAATATTACAGATGAAGCTAGTAAAAATTATGTTTTAAAGTTTAACATAATTCACTTTGAATGGTTTTTGCTTTTGTCAAATAGAGATAGTGTTATTAAAAAAAAAAAAATCAAACATTAGCTTGAAAACGGAAAGACAAGTTTTATTAACATTTAAAGTCCTTAAAACTAGTCTGGTTTTGTTTTTTATCCTGATTCAGTGTAAAAGGTTTGTTTAGAAAACTTTATTTGCAAATAAGAGTTACTTTTTTTATATAAGCAATTTATAAACTTGTGTTGTTAATAAAAGTACCAAACACTATTACAAAAAGACTGGTGACCATTAAATCTTAAGTATACATTAAAAATATAAAGTCAACATATTTTAATTTAAAATATAATATCAACATATTTTAATTTAAAATATAAAGTCAACATATTTTAATTTAAAATATAAAGTCAACATATTTTAATTTAAAATATAAAGTCAACATATTTTAATTTAAAATAGTCAAAATGTTTCAATTGGGAGGAGCTATTTTTAAAATGCTAAATAAATTTTTTTCTTCAATGACAAGTTGCACAAACTCCTGCTTAAAGTTAAAAAACAACAAATTGTCAATTTTTGACACAAAGTCATTTAATATGTTTTTCTGACTAAGGGTGTCAAGTAGAGTTTCTTAAACAAGATTCCAGGATCCCCACAGGTTCCCAGGGTTGAAAATAAAACCAGATTATCCTGGGATATGGCTAATCATTTAGGGGATTTTTATCTTAAATAATTTTTATTTTTTTTAACAAGTATTATTTTTTCAAAATTTAGAAAATGTGATGTCTTTTTTTTTCTTGGTATTGTTAAAAATGAGTATTTTAAACAACAAAAAATTTAAGGAATAACAAATTAAAAATAAAAAGATATTTTAAAAAGAAATAGAAAAAATAATAGTTTTAAAAAACAAAATTATGTTTTGCTTGATTTTTAAAATTTCAATTAATTAAAAAACTAAACATTTTACTGTATTATATTATTGGAAAATTAAATATTTTTTGTATTAAAATAACTTTAAAGTATGTTTTTTTAAATGACTTATTTTTGCCACTAGCAAATATTGCAGTGTAAAAATAATGTGTAGAAGTTTTCTACATCAAGATATAAAAAACTCAATCAAGATATGAAAAACTCACACAAAGAATTGGATTTAGATATAATTTGTCCACATGAAAACACTGGATTGAAAATTAAATAACAATATTTGTTAAACACCAGGCTATTGAGAATGTTATATCAAAGCCAGCAGCAAAAAGTGAGTTATTTACATGTTTTTGAAACAATTTTTTAATTCAAAAATTAATTCAGATTAGCGTGCTAATATAAATTTGTGATACAAGCCACTTGTTTGTTATTACATTTAAATTTTGATTTCAGGTAAAATAAACTAAAATAATACCCAGATCCCTGAAAATGTGTAGTTTTCTATATCCCAGGATATAGAAAACTACACACCAAGAATCCCAAAAAAATTTACAGGAAATAATAAAACCCTAGTGATACCAAAATATTTTTTATCAAACATTAAAGAACATCATTCTTATAGAAAATACTTTGAATAGTTTGAATTGGAAAACCTTAAGGAAGTAATCAATGTTTTTATTTTTTACTGATTTTTATTGAACTCATATTATGGGTATTCTAATGGTTTTTCCAGCAAAAAATTTTGTTCTTTATTTTAAAAGAATTGTTTTTCAGACATTGTCAAAGTCAGTACTGTACAGAGCAATATTAGAGGTATCATGACATATTAGATCTGTGTATCTTGATATTTATTTTGATATTTAATTCCATGTAAAAGTAGGGGAAAAAATTGTAGGGAAAAAAATTATATCTCAGATTCAATTATATCAATAAAATATAAATTAATGATATTAGTGAAGAATGAAAAATGCAATATTTCATCTTCTATTTCCAAATGATTGAAAAGTTATGTTGCTTTTGTCTAATATCCAGCCCACTGTGAGTCTAGTATCCAGCCCATTGTGGCCTAGTTTAATTTTGAAGAAAATCAGATTTGTTTGTGTTTTGGTGTGAAATGATTCACTTCTTTTTGCATGGAATTACACTTTTGTTAGTTTAATTAAATTCTTAATTTTTATCTACATTATAATTCTTAATTTTTATCAACATTAAACATTTTTAGTAGAGTTTTAAAGCTTTTTTTTTTTATTTGCAGAAAATTTTTGAAGATTATCAAATTGACAGGTTTCAAGTTTTATTTTCTAGTATTTTTCATGTTTATATATATTTTTAATTTACACAAAGCAAATTTATCCTTCTGACTATATTTAATGTTTACAACATTTTGTTTCGTAGATCAAATTTGAAAGCTGTTCAATTTCGTAATTTGGGCCAAAAATCATCTACTTTCAAAGAATATGTACTTTTGGTTAATGACAAGTTACAAACAAAAGGTGTCTGTTTTAAGGTATGCATGTGTGTGTGTGTGTGTGTGTGTATATATATATATATATATATATATATATATATATATATATATATATATATATATATATATATATATATATACATACATACATACATACATACATACATAGATGTGTATGTATATATATATATATATATATATATATATATATATATATATATATATATATATATATATATATACATACACATGTATGTATGTATGTATGTATGTATGTATGTATGTATGTATGTATGTATGTATGTATATATATATATATACATATATATATATATATATATATATATATATATATATATATATATATATATATATATATATATATATATATATATATATATATATATTATATATATATATGAGTACTCTTTATTAAAAAATGTAAATTAGTATTGAATATTTTTGTTTTTCAAAAGTTCTTCACTTTCTGAAGCTATCATTGGTGGAAAGTGAATTATATATTATTTATATTATTAGCCTCCTCGTCTGTAGTGGCCTTCTCGGCCTTGAGGAGGTGAATTAAAATTAAAAAAAAAATATATATAGTAAAATAATGAGATGTCTTTATTTATTTGGTATATGAAAAAATCATAATGATATATCCAAGTAAAACTACTTAACATTAGTAATAATTACAAAATTTTATTAAGTAAGAAAAGTGTATGTAAGAAGTTTTTTTTAATTTATTTTTTTTAACTTTCATTAATTTTACATTATTTTGGTTTTAGGTTGAAGAAGAACAAATTGAAAAATATTGGGACAAGTATAAAGGATTCTGGGAAGGAATGAAAGAATATCATATGGTACCTTTTTTTCAAATTTTTTTATTTAATTTGGAAAATAAAAAAAATTTTACAATTTATTTGTTAATATTTTACCTCAGACAATTTACTTTAGTCCAGGCTCCTTTTTTAATATATATTTGAAAAAAATTATATTTTGAATGAATACCAATGTGGTTTCTATGGTTTCTAATTTGATGCTACAGCAATTAACTCTAATACAATTTATCTACTAAAATTAATTATTTAAAATATAAATCATAAGGAAAATGTATATATATATATATATATATATATATATATATATAAATATATATAAGCCTGGGTCTACTTAAAGTCGACAGCAATTATTTTTTACACCATAAGTCGACATAAAAACTTTTCTTTTTTAATTCATTTTTCACTAACAGATGTTGCGTAGATTAAGTATTTGTATAGAAAAAAAATTTAAGTGATCAATTAAGCGCCTTTTTAAAAAGAAATAGAAAATTTGTCGACTTAGCGATTTTAACGCACGCACATATATTTCAACTTGACGTCGTAGAAGTAGTATAAAATAAATTTTTTAAGTTTATTTGTCATTTTTACATTTATTTATATTAAGAAAACTTATAAAAACATAGAAATATTAAAATACAAGTTTATATATTTATTATTGTTGACTTGACGCATGATTTACGAGTAGAATAAGTCTACTTATAGTTGAAAAAAAACATATTATACAATGTCTAAATGTTAATTTTTTTTTAAATTGGTTGTATATTATTTTAACTAAATAGTTTATCTATATTTTAAACAAAAATTATAATAAATATATTTTTATATTTCAAACAAAAAATGCAATTTCTTAACTATCGACCTACAGATCGTATATGTAAAACAAGTAAATATACGCGCTTTTAAAAAAAGTTATTGTTTATAGTTTTCCGCATTTTTTTTTGTTAATGTTTTTCATAGAAATCTCTTGAGTATAGTTTAGACATTACAACGGTATCTTTTTTTTTAAATTTCCATTGAACTAATCGTTACTAAAATTCATTCAAGCGTAAAGTCGACAGGAAATTTGTCGACTTGACGATGGTTATAGAGACATAGTTTGTTGACTTTGGGCTGACCTAGTCTTATATATATATATATATATATATATATATATATATATATATATATATATATATATATATATATATATATATATATATATATATATATATATATATATATATATATATATATGAAAATTTATATATATGCATATATTTATATATATATGCATATATTTATATACATATAAAAATATATACATATACAACCCTCAGAAATTATGGTCAGCATTCGGCAATTCCGACCTAACTGCTGATCTTAAAGTGTTTGAGGTCAGCAAAAAATTGCCGACCTCGTTTCTATGTTTTATGGTAACCTCTTTGTATCAAATTTTTTTTGTATCAAAATTTGCCGACCTCTAACAGTTTAAGGTCGGCATTTTTTTGCTGACCTCATTTTTCCTAATTCCGAGGGTTGCATATGTATTTATATATATTATATATATATTATATATATTTATATATTATATAAAAATATACATACACATATATATGTGTGTATATATATATATATATATATATATATATATATATATATATATATATATATATATATATATATATATATATATATATATATATATATAAACTTTCTTTCTTATGAGCCATTTTTTGCAACTTATAAAGAGAATTGACAGATAACTTAAAAACTGTATGACTTAATATTGAATTACCATCGCATAAATGATGTTAAATAGTAATTTTATATTCCAAAAGAATAAAATTTTTGCTGAATGTAAAATTCTTGAACCCGCCTGCAAATCAACATTTCATACACAAAATGTGAGCAACGTAATGCAATGCTTGAAAATGTGAGAAAAATGCTTCTTAACAATGCTTAATTATGCCCTACTTACAAAGTCGACAGTAATTGAACAAAAATTTTTAAATGAATGTTAAAATATAGATACAGTTAAATTGCTAAGGATAACAGCGCAGTCAGTAATTTTAGTACATTGCAAAAATATACAGTATGTGTATATTATGATATTTAAATAAAAAGTTTTAAAAATCAATAAAACTTCAGGATATTTTTAAGTCAATTGATTAAAAGTTCTTTGTGCGAAGCTAACTGGTCAGTTAAATATATTTTTTTATTTTTTATGAATATCTTCGAATTGAAATTTGTTTGTCTGTTTTATAAGTTCTGTAAGCTCTTTTCCAGTTTTTCAGTTCCAGTCTGTTTTATAAGTTCTGTAAGTTCTTTTCCAGTTTTTCAGTTCCAGTCTGTTTTATAAGTAGAGTAGTATTAAGTAACACTAGTTACTATTGCATAATAGATTTTAAAATTAGAAAACACAAACCAATTTAACATTACAAAATCAAACTGACAAAGTTATAAAATTATTAGGATTCAAGTTTTCTTGTATGTGCATTATCTATATGAATGTTGTTTTCGCATGTATAAGACCTTGTTATGAATATAAAATATGTTAATGGATAAGCATGATTTAAAATATCTTTATTTGCTTTCAAATTTTTATTTGTTGTTATGAGCACTAACTATTTTTTAATGCTGCTATTTACTAAATTTACTAAAATTAGTTGCACTTGACAAGATAACTTGATGACATTTTCAAGCACACCTTGATTAACATTCAATTGGCTATTTGGAAAGCAAGCAAAATAACTTGACTTTATTCAATGTGCTAAGGTTTTTACCAATTACAAAGTGTGTTTGGGGTTATTAAGTATTGTTATAAAGTATTGTTAAGATTATCATCTTACTTAATATGTGTCAGGTATGGGACAATTGTGGCTCACATCTTATAAATTAGCCTAAATTGAAACAGTATATATTCAAAATTGTTTCCAGACAGACTTTGTCCTACATCTCATTCAATCAGCTTAATTCTAATTAAAATTCTTTCCTATGCCCATTTATTAAATTGTTTTATATTTTTTGTTAATAAATTATAATATTTGTGGATAATTACAAAATTATCATAAATTTAATTTTTAGTTTTTAAAAATGTTTGAAATGTTGATGTTATACATAAATGTTGTTAATGATGAATAAATAATGTTAATGATGAATGAATAATGTTAATGGTGAATAAATAATGTTAATGATTAATGAATAATGTTAATGGTGAATAAATAATGTTAATGATGAATGAATAATGTTAATGATGAATGAATAATGTTAATGATGAATGAATAATTTTAATGATGAATGAATAATGTTAATTATGATTGAATGATGTTAGTGGTGAATGAATGTTATATAAAAAGCAGCAGTAACATGGAAACTAATTGGTTTTCTTTAGATATATTTATGTATAAGCTTTTATTAATTTAAATCAATTATAATTTTATAATTTGTATAAAATATTTTATCTTGCTAAGGTAAGAATGCAACTTGCACCAAGTATTGAAAAACTTATTCTTCTTGACAGATTGCTTTATCTTATTGAAAAGGTACGAAATATTTTTATCAATAATTTTAATAATTATCTCAGTTTTATCAGGTGTGCTGCATTTTTATATAGGGTGAAGGAGGGTAATAAAATTAGAGGGGCAATGGGATCAATTTTAGCAGAGCCTAAACTTAACTGTTTTATTTTTTGTTTAAAAAATAAAATTTTATAAATTTTGCATGACAGATGCTTATGTAATATTACCTAAATAGTGAATATTTTAAATTTTTTCATTGGTTTGCAACTAACTTCTATTCATTACTCTCGATTCCCTAATTGGACTTGGCGAAACAAGTTAATTAATTACAGTTGAGTCACAAAGTTGACTATCTGAGTAAGAAATGAGAAAGAAAAAAAATTTGAACTTTAAAGCCAGTAGAATCAGTGCTACTAGCGCCATTCAGTGTGCAGTATAGTCACCATTAACAACATTGGCTAACAGGCCAAGAACTAGAGTTTTTAAATCTAATCTTAATTAACTTCAAAAGAACAAAGAGAAACCTTTAAGAATAAACAAAAAGGTGTAATCTTTTACAAAATTAAATATATATTATATAATACTCTTTTAAAAAAAATGGTTACCATTCATTATTGTAATTTAAAATTTTCTTCTAATTGTAAATTGTATAAAGAGTATTATAAAACATAATACTTTATCTGAATACTTTAAACAGGTAAAATATACTTTGAAAAGATGCAATCTATTTTTTTAAAAAAAAGCAAATGTCACACACAGTGCAATGTCACCCACATTTCTTTGGGTGAAAGAATCTGTTTCTAGCTTAAAAGTTGAGATTTAACTGATAAACCTGATATAACTGATAAACCTGATTTAACTGATAAACCTAGTTTAACTGATAAACCTGATTTAACTAATAAACCTGATTTAACTAATAAACCTGATTTGTTAACATTAAGCTAACTAGTATTTTACAATTCAATTTTGGTACAAAAACGTCAAATAAACGATAAACGATAAACTTTGGTATAAAATCTGAGATTAAACTACTCATTAGTGGATCATTATGATTCACAGGATTTGACAGATAATGTAATACAAAGTTGTTAAAAATGAGAACTAATGTAAAAATTTAATAAAAAGAATTTTTATCTATTGAAAATTTTAAATTTCTGACTAAATTATAATAAATTATGATAAATTAAGTGTTAACTACTTAATTAAATTACTTCAATGTACCGAAAACAGTTTTTTAAATGGGGCTAAAAGTTATGATTATTTATGAAAAAACGATTTTGGTAGAAAAATTAACACCATATTAGGTTATCTAAATCTAACGTGACATTATTGTTTAACATACTCATTTAGGTGTGGTATTGAAAATAGTAACTTAAATTTTCATAAAAAAAATGGTTTTTCATCGATAATTTTCTCAAATAATTTCTGATTAGAAATGTCAAGTTACATTCATTGAAAACAAACACCAATACGTGCTTTTATAAAAAAATCAAGTTCATAGACTTATCTATAGCCCAAGCTCCAAGGTACTTTATGTTAAAAATTGCATCTTTTCTAAATAAAACTACGCTTGACGATTTGTTATAGTCGCATTACTTTTACCAGATTATAATAGTGGTTAAAATAATCTTTCCATGCATACCAAATATGTCATACTTTTTGATGAAAAAACTTACATATATTGTAATTGAAAAAACTTATATTTTTGTTCGGAAAAACGTGTACCAGGCCTTAGTTGCATTGAGCAACTAAGGCCTATTCTTCTAAGTTCTATTGATTTTTACGCAATTAATACGTATTAAAGCGTAACGATTCAAAAAACGATATTAATGCGTAACGATTCAAAAAACGATATTAAAGCGTAACGATTCAAAAACTCTGATCATAAATTTTCCCAAACAAAAAAAAATATATATTTTTATTAATGAGGTTTTTCTATGGCCTTACAATTTTGATGTGACAGTGCTTTTTTTCACGTGGCGTGACGTGACAAAAGCACTGTCACATCAAAATTATAAGACCATAGAAAAACCTTTTTTGATATATGTTTTAAATCACTTCGTTTTCCGTATTTTTATGATGTTTTTATTTCTCTTTGTATTTTTCTACAGTTTACTAATTTTTATTTTTAGGGTTTCACGAAAAGCGGTATCGTTCGTTTGTTTTCTCCCGTAATATCTCCACGATGCTATGCAATCATCTCCTTACGTTGATACTCAACGACGATCATTATATAAAAGAAGATTAGTTGTGATAATGACGATTAAAATCAAAGATGTTGCAATGTCTTACATTGATAAGCTGTCTTAAAAAATGAATGTGATGAAAGTAAAAGAATATCTAAAAAAATGTATGTGTAAGACAACTATTTTTTAATTAAAGCTTTCTGGTTCATAAAAAATATTTTACAGTGAGTCAAATCTTGCAAAAAGAAAAGCAAAAATTTCACCTAACAGTTTTTTGTTAGAAACGAAAACATTGAAAAATACAATCTGCATGTATAACTTTACGACGAACACTTTGTCGTTAGCTCTTGCAATAATCCAATGGCACTGTTTTTCTAATTATGCATATAAAAGAATGCCCTTACACATAAAAATATTTCCACACAAAAAACACATCTATTAATTTTGCTATTTAAAATAAATGAATAGCATTTAAGAATCTGCAAAATGATCAGATATAAGCAAGTCGACGTTAAGGAAATGGTTCAAACCATGTTAGTTACTATTGCATCTGATACAAAACCAAAAAATATCAAACGTATTAAATCTATGTCCTCTAATTCAAGACCAATTATTCTCAAATATCTGGTGTTTTTGAAAGAAACCCATTACTAACAACAGCAGAAAAAAAGGAACCCATTACTTACAGCAGCAGAAAAATTGAAAGTTCGAATAATTGTAAAAGTAATTTTATAAACCCAGATTTGATTAAGGCTGAAAGATTTATAAAAAAGATTAAATTAAGTTAAGAATGAAGTGTAATAAATATCAATTTAGTAGATAGTAATATCAATATAAACCATCACCCTTTAGGTATGGTAAACGAAGCAGCGGAGTCGCCAAACTCAAAAGTTACACAAATCACTACATAAACATTACTACCCATCTTCCAATTTTTTACCAACAAACTTTTAAAATAATACAAAAATTTTCATGAAAAAAAAAACAAATTATAGCGTTAATTGTAATTATACTAATGCAACATCTCTTGATAATAAAAGATTTAATTCCAATATTTAGTACGTTTGATTTTCATGTTATTACTGTCTCTGAAACAAGGTTTCAAAATGACTTAGTACCAAATATTGATGGATATAACCTATATCTTAAAGATTGCCAAGACGACGTTGAGGTGGCGGTGTAGCTATCTACATTACTGATGTTTTTAACTCTCGTGAAGTTAATCAGTTCTATACAAATATTCTTGAACAAGCACAGTTAGCACGGATCCTTATAATGCCTACCTAGCTGTCCCAGGAACGCCACTTATACGGAAAGTTAGCGTACACATCAAGGTACCCTGTGATGCAAATTTTGAAATCATTTAATTTTGTCCGCGGAAAATAATTTAATTTGAATGTTCAAATTAAGTCAAATTTTGACTTCATAGTGCGCCAATAAAAACACTTGTAGAATTCGAACCACTCAATATAATTTGATAACAATTGGTGCAAATGTAGCCAATAGTCACACCAAAATCTGGAAAAAATTTAGCTTAATTAGATGACTGGTGTAGAATTTACTGCAGTTTTAGTTAAAGTTTTGTCAATTTTTTGCTACTTATGCCTCAAAGCGTTACCGATTACTTTGAAGTTCGGTCACTATTTATAAAATAACGGTTACATGAGTGTTCTACTATATAATACCAACAATTTTTGTTATAATTATTTTATCGGTACATGTACAGTTTTCATTTTATAGACCAAAATAGTGATTTTTTACTTAAAGCGTGATTTAAATAGTCTTATGCTAATAGTGTCGATACAGCCTTCAAAGTGGAGGAGGTCAACCCCTAAATTTCAACAATAAAATCCATAATTTCTAAAATAGTTGCTTATTTTTCTAAAACAAAAGGTTCTCGCAAAAAAAAGTGGGCAGGCCATGGCTCCCTTGACGGCCATGTATGCCTCTCTTGAATATACCAACATTTTCTAAGGTATAAACTACTGCCAGAATGCAAAAGAATTCTAAAAAAATAGTTAAGAAGGATTTCTAGGGATACCTACATAGAAAATAAAAATATTTATTTATCTGAAAACAGAACAACTGTGAAAAACCAAATATTTTTTATATTGACTAAGATAATTGACTTAAAAAATTTAGATAAGTTAACTAAGATATCTGACCAATACAAAGTTTGGAGGGCCAGTCGGAGGAAAATTACTCTAACTGAATAACTAATTAGGTTGAAGGGTTGTTTTGAAATAAAACAACCTGTGTGACAAGTATCATTATATAATAAGTGTGACAAGTATCATAATAAGTGTGACAATTATCAAAAATGTAATTTCCTTACAAGTAAATAGTTTAAACAATTGTTTCCTGGTAAGGAAAGAACTATTCAAGAATTATTTCTTATATTTATTATGTAGTTTAATACTATCTTAATTAAATCAAGTAAATATTTCCTTTATTTTAATAGTTTTTAATTAATAATATGTGTTACTATGTTAGTGTATTGTTTTCAAATATAAGTTTAGGTCAAATTTTGTAAAAGGCAGAGTTTAATTTAGTAAAGTCAAATTTAGTGAATTGCCACGATGCCAAATCAAGCAAAGAATCATGATAAAAATCGAAAGTTTGTGTGCTTGCTCTGTCTGAAAAAATGTTTAAGACAGCTTACTACTTTTCAAGCAGATCGATATGCCAACTGTACAAGACCAAGATCAATATCAATGATACTCGGATACCAAAAACATTCTGCGAATCGTGTAGAACTACTTTGCGCAGGAAACAAGAAGGGAAAGAAGTTAGACTCCCTCCTTTGTTTGATTTAAAGTCAATACAAGTGAGACCTTAAACAAGAGGCACAATGTGTTGATGCCTAATATGCTGAATTGGTCAATCAAAGCTGCAAGAAAAATATCCTCCTATAGAACAAACCACTATTGAGAAAAAAACCAGAGGTGCGTTGCAGCAAATGCCTCAGCCTTTTAGGAAAAGGTTTGCCCCACCAATGCTCTCAAATAATGTTAAGGGAAAACATTCAATCTTTAGCAGCAAAAGATGCCAAATCATCCGAACTAATTGCGAGTTATTTCCAATAAAGAATTATCTCCGGAAGGAACTATTCTACTGGCTAAAGCATCCGGCGGGCCTCCACTTACAGTTACCCCTGGTAAATATTTATACTTAAATAATTTTTTCATATATATTGAAATGAAGTCTTGGCTATTAAGAAATAACACTAGATAGATTTCAAGAAGTACATTTTTGACAAGTTTCTAATTTTTGTTTCTTTAAAAACGAAAGTTTTACACAAACTTTAAAATATGTATGTTTTGGTTTTAGGTCAAAGTAATGCGCAAACACCATCAAGTACCCCAAAATTGATCACTGCAGCCCTTGTAAATGTGAAATTAAATACGGGCCTGTCAAACAACGGATTAAAGAAACTATAAACAAAACATCAAGCATCAATGTTAGAACTATAAACAAAACATCAAGCATCAAGATGGTAGAGCGAAATTTCTACGTGAACTTTCTAAGACTAGGTCAACAATTGAGCGATTTCTTCACCTGCAGCGACTTAAAAATCACAGACGAAAAAACAGATTCTTGTACAGTTCATGTTGTTTCTTACTGCAATGATTTATCAAGTCTTGTGAATCATGTTATTCATTCCCGCAAAATTTCTGCTGGCTATTTTGTTAAGCTCGGAATTAATGGTGGAAAAGGTTTTCTCAAATTTTTCCTCAGCATTATTTATACTGCGTTAAGGAATGAAATCAGCTCACCGCACCAACAACAACCTCTAATCAAAGGACTGGTAAAGACACTGGAGTCAAGAGACAAATTATTGTTGGGGTTTCAGAAGATTTGCCAGAGACACACTCCAGTATTGAACAAATCTGGTCACTGATTAATGCAAACGGAGTTAAACTAATTTTGGCTTGTGATATGAAAGTTGAAAATATAATTTGTGGTCTTCAAACTTATTCAAGTACGCACCCTTGCACCTGGTGTGACGTCAAATCCAATTGTCTTGCAAAATCTGGAAACTGGGTTCAATTAATTCAAGCCTTGAGTCTTTTCAGCAATATGGCGGGGTTTTTGCTAATGTCATTCGAAAGCCAATCATCTGCGGGCCTGTCAATGTTCTGATTTTGGAATCTTAGGAGTTGTCAACCATGTTTTCAAGATCCTTAAAACTGGTTGGATGAAAGCTGTTAAGTGGTCAGCCCCCCTCCACATTTAACTGAGCACGTATCACGGGGCCAGTTTGAGGGAAATGAATGCAGGAAGCTTCTTAAAATGTGGATATGCTGCAGCATCTTGCTGAGACAAATATGGTTCCCAATATTGTGTGCACAATTGAAGCATTTAAAAGCTTCAATTTAGTTGTCAAGGCTTGTATTGGGTACATCTTTTAGCCGGATTTCGCTGAAAAAATTAAAAATTTCAAAAAGCGTTACTTAATGATAACTGGTGCAAGCGTAACACCCAAAATTCACGCCGTCTTCTATCACATCAAGGATTTCATCAGTCACAAAGGATCCCCCTTGGGGCCCTATAGTGAACAAACTGTCAAAACTTCTCATCAAGATTTTTATCAACATTGGTCGAGGTATAAGCGAAATAATAATCATTCAGAGTACAAAAAAAGATTGTTGCGCTGCATAATTGATCTAAACAGTAAGCATCTTTAAAGAACATTATTTGAGTTATTAGAAATTAGGTTGCTGAAATTCATATTTTACGGCGTATAATGAATATTTTCACCATCTTTAAAAGTAGTATTATAGAGTATTTGTATTGAAAGAGTACATTGAGCTATTTATTAATAATCTTTTGGTGGAGAAAATCAAAAAAACATTTCTTAAAACGTAATTAGATATTTGATGGAAATACAATGTAAAAAATAGGGTTTAAATAGTTTTGACTTCATTTTAAAAGTAAATGTATTTAAGGAGGTCAATACAAAATTTTTTAGGAGATCTACTTTTTTTTTTGTTTTACTAACTGGTAGTCCTTTGACCAAGTTTTGCACTTTTTTTTTTCTTTTTTTTTGGCAGCAGTTTATACCTTAGGAAATGTTGGTATATTCAAGAGAGTTGACGATGACGGCGTTGACGGCCATACATGGCCGTCAACGCCGGGGAGGCTAGAGGGTCATGTCCTTCTATAATTTTTTT